CAACAAGTGGGCTTGTACCACATACAGATACCCTCACTAAGATAAAGATCAATGGTATAATTTTATTGCGATTGTCCTTGAGGGAATGGAAATATCCACAGACATTGTTGCATGGATTTCATATGCATAATCTTGTTGCTTTGGCTTTTGATGAGGATTAAGGTCTTGTTCATGTTAATTACTTGGAGGCACTGGAGGTGCTGAGTTTTAATTATAGAAAGAAAAGGTTTAAATTAATTGCAATTACATATATTAAATAAAACTTTACGAGGCTAAAAAAGGATGACCTAATAAGCATCAGTTATGAGGAACTACAACTGGAATACGGAAGCATGTGCTGGATCCCTTTTTACTGTAGTAGGTAAGTGTTTGTGGTAGTGTGAATGTAATTGGTCTCCATAAGCTCATAGGGATTGCCACTATTGGGAGGTGTGACTTTGTTTCAGTAGGTATGGCTTTGTTGGAGCAAGTGTGTCACTTTGGGCTTTGAGGTCTCCTATTCTTAAACTATGCCTAGTGTGGACACAGATTCCTTTGCTGACTGTGGATCAAAATGTAGAACTCTCAGCTCCTTCTCCAGCACCATGTGTGCCTGCATGCCACCATGTCCCACCATGATGATAATGGACTAAACCTCTGAAATTGTAAGCCATCCCATTAAATGTTTTCCTTTGTAAGAGTTGCTGTGGTCATAGTATCTCTTCACAGCATTAGAAACCCTAACTAAGACAGTGTTTGAAAGTATATTTCCCATTAATATACATTTACCTTAAAATTATCTGCACATGGAAGTGTATAGACCATTGTTCATAGCTAGAAGGCTTAGCTTTCTTTACAGCTGTTAAGTAGAGAATATGTACACTCTTTTAAAGTTTATCTTGACTAATTATTGTTAATGTATTGAAGAAGAGAGCCACAATTGTGAAGAACCGTGGCCTTTTTTATGCAGAAAATATTCTAAAAATAACATACTTACATTTTTTGAAAATATTTGGAATATGATTTCCTCCATGACTCAATTTTTAAGCATGGTAGTTCCCTTCACTTCTACTTCTGGAGTTTTCCAGGGAGCCATAAACAGCCATTCAATGGTGAGACCTTCTTATGGACCCAGACCACAGCATAAAGAATAAGGATAACTGGCTTACATTCCAGATTCTGTGACTAACTAAGCATTTTTTATGACTCGATGCATTATCATATAATTTTGTATCTTAGGCTCTTAAATTTAAGTGGCTTAAAACATACAATTGTTACGAAACATATTTTTAAAAGCAGAAAGTGAGCCAGACATGGTAGCACACACCTTTAATCCTAGCACTACAGAAACAGAAGCAGGTAGATCTCTGTGAGTTTGAAGCCAGTCGGGTCCTGTGTAGTCCTACAGAGTGAGTTCCAGGGCAGCCAAACTACACACTGGGACCCTGTCTCAGAAGAAGAAGAAGAAGAAGAAGAAGAAGAAGAAGAAGAGGAGGAGGAGGAGGAGGAGGAGGAGGAGGAGGAGGAGGAGGACTCTCTTTTTAAAAATAATACCAATAGTCATTTTGTTTGTTTTGAGACTACATTTTCCTATGTAGATCAGGCTATCCTAAGGTTCCAGAGTTCTCTGCCTTTGGGATGACAGACACATACCAAAACCTGGTTTTATGAACTACTTATCTACTCAAAAGTTGAGAGCAGAGAGCCATGGAAGGCGATTTGTGTTAGGTGCCCTGTCCCTATGCTCCTCTGAAGGATGAAAAAGGACGATTAGGACAGGACATAAACAGTCTGATGATGTAACACAGTTCGACTTATATGAGACTGGAGAAACAGCTCAGAGGTTACGCTCAGTCAGGAAAACCAGAATTCAGATCCCATTAGATGGCTCACAGAAATCTTTAATGCTCTCTTTTGGCCTCTAGGGGCACCATACCCATGCACGCACACACTCACATACACTCTGAGCCATAGGCACACACACACACATAAATAAATGAAAATAAATCTTTTTTTTTTAACTTAAAATTACTGACAAATAATTTATGTACCATTTGAATACCACCTAAACATATTTTCTCTTTACTTGTTGAGATTTTTCTGAGTATGTAAGAATAAAGGAGGGAAAGAGCACCACTTTCACGTCTTATTTGTGACATTTGTTGCAGTGGGAGGGTGCTTGTGTTTAAAGTAGCAACACCTTGAAATGACTAGCCTGGCTTCTCTTTGTTGTTCCTCTTACTTCTCTTCTTAGTTGGGATTACTTTATCTAATTTATTATTTATTAGTTTGATAATGCTCTGGGTTTTCCTTCTGTTTTATATGTTAATACAGAGTTTCACCATGTAGCCCTGACTGGCTTGAAACTCACTATTTAGGTCAGCCTGGCTTTGAACTCAGAAGAGATCCACCTGCCTCTGTTTCCCAGTGCTGGGATTAATTTTTTTTTTATTCCGAACCCAGCACAAACACAGCACTAAATTTCTGCCCCATTTCTTCAGAATTGAATATCTATTCCTTGCACTCGTATTTCCTTCAGGAGCTGTGGTCTTGCTGTTTGCTTACTCATACTCATATTGAAAATTCATGTTTCTTACTGTGCTCTAGTTACGACCTCTGGATTCTGGCACCTGCTGCCATACTTGCCAAAGGTGCATTCTTTCCACTGGTCTGCCACCCAGCCACACCCTGTCCCTTCCCAGGATAGCTGCCAACTACTCAACACATTGTGTCTGCGCATGCATCAATCAGTCTCTTTTGGGCTCTTGCCCATTGATTGCTTCAGATTCGTTGACACTCCCTTCCATTTCCCAAGACAATCAACTACTACTTCTGGATCCTGAGAAGGTGCCCTGCCAACCCATTAGGTCTTATTAATATATAGGTTAGTGTCCCCAGACTGATACAGGCTGAGTAAGGTTCCAATGCCCTAGTGTGAGCACTTTTTACGAAAGGTTTTTTTCCTTACACAAAATTAACTTCACAGAAGATTTTCCATGAAGACCATCACGTGTCTCAGATGGTCTATAAAGTCTAATGATCGCGGAGTTTGGCGTTCTAAGCACACCATCAAGATGACCAAGATCCCTCGAACAGGAATTAAACAAAACACCCTACCTCACTGTGCATTCATACTCTTCTTCTGAAAGCAAAATAAAACAAAACTAAAACCTAAATGATACAAAATGGTCAGTTAGCCAAAAAAAAAAAAAAAAAAAAAAAAAAAGAAAAAAAAGAAAAAGAAAAAAGGACAACAAAGCATTTTACCAAAGGGTTAATGATTGCCAAAGGAGACAGTTTGCCATGTCTAATGAAGGTTGGTTGTTGGTTTTGGTACGCTGGGGGATGACATGAGAAAATTCTTAATAATACTGTTCTACTAACGAAATTGATCGCTAAACCCAGAAATTCCCCTATCCCAAAAATTCTAGGCATGACATTGATGTTCTGTAAGAGTTACTATAACAGGGAATCATGGCCTGCTCATTTGACTGAGTCTTGGTGCTAAGGGCTTTTGGTCAGTTTTGAAATGTTATGTGCTCTTTGGGGCATAAATATAACTTGGACCCTACAGTTTCAAAACCAGTAGCACTGCTTTGACTCACATATGGATATATTTCTCATTGATTATTTGTCATAAAATTGATAGGTTTTTAAAAAGATGAAGTAGAATCTGAAAGAAACAATCAAATTGCCATGGAAAATACGTAAATGCAGACTACAGAACAGCCCAGTAAATACATTAAGAAGGTTCTTACTGCCCCCTGCTGTCAGTTTTGTAAAATATAAAAAAATACAGTAAAAATTGACACTAAGTTCGCAGGTAAATAACACTGTTTTTATTCTAAGCAGTGATTGTGAAGTAAGAAACCAATGCCAGCCATGTGAGCATGAGCACACATGGAAAAGCCCAAAGTATAAACTCTGTTTTGACTTGTAGCTACTCTCATCTACTTTATCATTTTTCTAAACTAAATTATTTGAATTTGCTTTCACACATTCATATAGATTGGATACAACATTCGGAGAAGTCAATGAACGCTCATTTTTGAGTCTAATCCTGACTTGAAATTAAGAAATGAGATATAATAAAGAGACCAGGTAACACTAGGTACAAGGCCACAGTAATTCATTATTGCTTTGATTTAATTCAACCATCATCAAATAGAATGTGATGTTTTGTTATACTTTCCATCTCAAGAAGGAAGACACCAAGTCCCAAAAGTGTCTGAATTTAAGGGACAGCAGGAGTCCAAGGAAGACCTCGGATTGTAAGCCCTGCAATATGGGTCCAAGGTTCTTCTCCTGAACTTTTCTTGCACACAAGAAGGCATACATCCTGTAGTCTAAAAGGAAGAGTCTATAGGAATCATAATGGAGACGGTATGAGGTTTTTTTGACCCTAAGTCTGCACCCAATTCACTGTCATCTTTGGCTGAGCCCTGCTCTGGTGTCCAGGACTAAGCCCAGTTTTGTCCTGGGCTAGGTTTATTGTTCTTCCATACAGAAATTCTGTCTACTCTGGTTGCATCACCTTGAAAATGTGGATGTTGGGCTTGTCTTTAGTTAATATGGCAATTTGACCCATGCCTTGGACTGATGTCTATTTGGGGTTCGCCTCTGCTTGGTCTGCATACCCTTTAATCTCTGCACTACTGGGTAACTTCTAGCTTTGGGATAATTTTTACCTTCTTCAGTGACTCGTGATCAAAAATCACACTTTTTTCTATGCTTTGGATAAATCATTTTCACACTTTACACCCTCCAGGTTCTATAAAATCTAGACTCCCATATAACAACCCCATAGCCTCTTCAAGTCCATTGCCTTTTCTTTGAATATACAGACTCGCCCAGGGCAACACCTGGTGGTGCTGGCCATTTGGCGTGCTTTTGTCTGGCAGGTGTTTGAAAAAATTCTATCCTAGCATCCAGAAAACTAGCAACGCAAGAATTCTTCCCTACCTGAAGTAACATCGGAAGTCACCCAAATCACTCAAGCTTCATAATAAAAGAGTTCTTACCTGACTCGGGGAGTTGGATTTCCTGTGACTCTACACTCCAAGTAAACTCGGCTTCCTTCGGCGACTTCTTGGCTCCTCAGCTTCTGGATGAACCGAGGTGCAGAGGGCAAGTCCCGGGATTTCTGGGGCTGAGGCTGAGGGATGTGGGTGTGTGGCAAGGCCTCATCTGGGGTCTGGTGTGCCTGGTAGCAAAGGCTGCCCTGGGCTAGCTTGACCTCTGCTTCCATCTCCTGTTGGTCTATCTGGTCTCCAGTGGGGCTCTGGCTGGCTGAAGCACTTGTCAGTGTTGATGGTTGGTTTTTAGGGGACAGGTACCCACTGTCTGGTGACGAAGACTCACCATTTGGGCTTCTGTTTCTTGGCTTGGCTGCCTCTCTAAATATGGATGTCAGTTCCTCAATGAAACTAGCAGCCTTGTCGCACAGTTGGCCCTGGGGACCAGCTTTGTTTTGCTGGGCAGCTTTGGGCTTTGCACTTGGATTTGGAATTTTTGCACCTCGTTTTTCAGCCTTGCGGAGGCTCCGGATGTAGCTGGGGCTGGCCAGCAGGGGTGATACCCCAGGTTTCCTCCTTGAAGCTGGGGAACTGATCCGTTCAGCTTGCTCTCCCGCCAGAGGCTGGACAGGTGCTGGCCTGTTGTGCTGAGGTCCTGCTGAGGGCGTCTGCTCTCCGAATTTGGTCTCCTCGTGGGATGGAGTTTCACAGAGCCTTACAGGAGATTTGCTGAAAATCTGTGAAATCTCCTTTTCTGAATCAAAATCTTCACTTTCAGAGTTGTCTATAGCTCGGCGGGCCAGGTCAAGACTTTTGTTTATTTCTTCCTGGCTGAGAAACGCGGAGAGCCCAGGGAAGGCATCAGCACTTTTTCCCTCATCCTGCACGTCTGATAAGGAATCGTAGAAGGAGTCGTGGGAGGAAGTCTCTGACATATTTAAGCAGTCTCCACACACTCGTTGCTTGTAGTGGGAAGGCTGGAGGGGGCACAGGAAACCTGTGTTCTTGCTTTCTGAAAGACAACACCGAACCTTCATCAGTGCTACTAATAATCCCTCTTTCATTTGTTTTATGTCACTAGTAACAACCAATCAGGAGAAACACTGGGGTGAACCCATTTAGCAATCTTCTTTATTCTGTACATGGGAAGAAAGGCCGAATACTCATGTGCTTACAACTTATGACTAATTATTTATTTTAGGTTTTTGAGATGGTAGCCTGCTATGCAGCACAGCCTGGCCTCGAACATGAAATCTTCCTGTCTTGGCTGCCAAGTCCCAGTCCTAGGTGAGGGTGAGGATGAGGGTTAAGATGCCTGGCACTGTTTGTAGTTTCAGGTTAACATACATCCTGGAAGTGAGCACAAGGTCTCACAGTAACTACAAATGATTCAAGAAGACGAGGTCTTCAGCAGGCACATAGCTTACACTGAAGGGACCTGCTCCCCTTTCAGCAGCCATAACAGCCGAACACGTGCTTGCCATAAACTTGCCTTGGTCACTTAGAGGTCAGATGCCTGTCTCCTGACAAGGAACCCTTCAGAAGTTAGTCACTAGAAAGTCAGATGCCTGCCTCATGACAAGGAACCAATCAGAAGTTAGCTGGTGGTGCTATGCTTTATGACTCTGGGTGTGCTTTAGGGACAAGCGCACAGCAATGATGTAGAGAGCATAGCAACCACCCTGGGAGGGCCTATGGACCATAACAACCAGTTGACCAATCAACACAGGGCAAGCCCTCCAAGCCTGGAGGCACACCAATCGTGAGCCTGTGCATACCCCTAGATACTCCCCTTACGCTGTCCTATAAGATGTCTTGGGAGGCCCTAGGAGCCGTCTTTTCTAGCCATCCGCCATGATGGGTGGGCGAAAGACCCGAGCTAACATGGGGTTAGCTTGTTAAATTACAATAAAGCCTCGTGCAGTTTGCAGCAAACTCTCGAATCCGCCTGGTGATTGGGGTGACTGCAGTCGTGGCCTGGGACCCCGGATACTTGAGTTTTTCGAGGGTCTAACAACACATATAGGGGACTGCTTTCTGAGCCCTTCCCTCATCACATACCCTGTCAGTAGCCCTCATTTCAACAATGCTTTCAGATAAGTACTTGATGATATTAGTAACTCTGACTGTCCTAATTTGGCTTCTGTTGCTGAGATAAACACTATGGGAGGAAAAGGTTTATTTGGCTTACAGGCCAAAGCCACCATGGAGGGAAGCCAAGGCAGAGCTTCCAGCAGGAACCTGGAGGCAGGAACTGAAACAGAGACCAGGAAGGAGGATGACTTGTTCTCCATGGCTTTCTCAGCTCACTTATTTTTATACAACTCAGGACCACCTGCCCAGTAGTAGCACCACTCACAGTGGGTTAATTCTTTTCAGACCAATCATAAAACAAGAAAATGACCACAGATGCGCCCATAGGTCAATCTGATGAAGCCACTTTCTCAATTGAGCTTTCCCTTCACAGGGGACTCAGGTTTGTGTCAAGATGACAAAGGTAATCAGCTCACTGACTTCGCTCATATGGCCCTAATCCACAAAGAACAGTTGCACAGTTTCAGCTTTTATCCATTTAGTAAGAATAAATAGATCAAATAAATACTTGTGTGTTTATAACTTACAATGCATCTATTTACTTATGTCTCAAAAATTGTCTCAGCCTTTCTTTGTGTGCATTCATCTTTGTTTATATTTGTTCATTCAGCTTCATTCTAACAGGTATCCGTGCTCACTAACTTCTAGGTCCTGAGAATATGTGTGCCCTCAATACTAAGCATCCCCAGACTGTTCTCTCCAGGAACAGGCTGAGGAAAATGTATCCTGTTTTAAACTTCCTGGCTGTAACACCCCTGTTATATACTAACTGGCATGTTAGCATGAAACCAGCCACAGATGATACATAAACGAATGAGCATGCCTATGCCCATAGACTTTGTGAATATTGGCACTTAATGCCAATTTTTAAAAATCATAACATATTTTTGGTTTATTTTTTTATTTGGAGATATGGCTAACTATGTAGTCCAGGCTGGTTTTGGATTTTCATTTCTCCAGCCTCAGCCTATGGAAGGAGTTGGGATTATAGATATGTTTATTGTCTGGCTTTTGATTATTTTTTAAAGATTTTATTTATTTATTCATGTGAGTGTGTGTGCATGAGTGCATGAATGTGTGTATGTGTGTGTATGTATGCATGTGTGCTGGTGCTTGGTGCCCTGATAGGCTAGATTAAGGTGTCAGATTCCCTAGACCTAGAGTCATTGGGGGTTGTGAACCCCTCACATTGGTGTTCAACTATAGTTTTCTGAAAGATCAGATGAGCCATCTATTGAGGCCCTAAAGTGAGGTAATAAAGTAGAAAAGACAAGTCTTTAAACAAGTGACATGAAAGTAATAAAAAAAATCTGATAGCTTCTAAAGAAAGTTGAAATGTGCCTAGGAGTGATGGGGGAGGAGTGGTCTAGTCTTAAAGGATGTATAACTTTGTTCGACAAAGGATATTTATCTGGGAATATCATCAGAATATAGCGAAGGCTGCTTCAGTATCTTGTGAGTCACTTTAAAGTCTCCTTTTGCTCACTGTGGAGCAATGTGTTGGTCTCCTGTCACTCTAAGTGTGATGTTCTTTTTCTACATGTTGCTTTTCAGCTCATAGGAGGGAAGGTTGGAAAGTCCCCAAAGTAATCTTTCCTTTAAAACTGACTTAGAAGTCATCAAAGAAAGCTATCAAACATGGCGAACTTCAACTTTGCAAGGTTTGCTGGTAGGAACCCAATGAGATATCTCCCAGAAATGTTTCTAATGAGACATGAATTGAGCCAATACTCTTGAAGCAGCCTTCCAGCTAAGGAAATCTGATCTCAAAGAACATCCTGATAATTAATCTTAATTGCCAACTTGATAGAATCTCGAATTATCCAGGACTGCTCCTTCCCCAGAGCATGTCTGTAGGAATTTACTGAGAAGGTCAACTGAATGAAGAAGACTTAACAGTGGACAGCACCTTCCAATTGATGGCCGAAATATAAAGTGCATTTATCTCTGTTGTTACCATCCTCCACTGACAATAAACTCCAATTTCTTTGAACCTTCGATGAAGAATAAATATCAGCCACTCTTCAGAGAACTTCCAGGTCTTCAGAAGTAGTTTGAGACACTGGAATTTCTGGGGCATCTGACTATGAGAACTGGGCAAATCCTAAAACTCCATTGTCCTGTTCTTATCATGGTACTCATTTTACCAATTCAGTGTTACTCTAGTTCAGTGGTTTTCAAACTGTGGGCCGTGATCCCTTTGGTGGTTGCATATCAGATATCATATATTTATTTATATTTCATAACAGTAGCAACAAAATAATTTTATGCTTGGGCAGGTCACTGAAACACGAGGAACTGTATTAAAGAATCATAACATTAGGAAGGTTGAGAACCACTGTTCTAGTTCCTTGTCTTGTCTTGCTTGTGCTACAGGATGGAATTATCCTAATTGTTCTCTTCATGGAGAAAGTTTGTGCTTGGTCTACTTTGAATATGTAAATATATTTTGTTTATGAGCAACAGACAGTTAAACTATACTTTTGAGATGACAGAATCATGACAAAATAATCAAGTATAAAGCAAACATGCATGGAAGATTTTATTTAGCTAATTAAAGATGAAACCATTAAAGTTTACCACTATTCCAAAGAAAACACTGAAGGCTAGACACATATGCAAGTGATTCTGAATGTTTAAATTTGTTGGTGAACTTACAGCTGGCTGATATCTATAGAACAATAAAATACAATGTTTGGAGTCATACAGAAAGCCAGCCAGTACTATTTTCACTATAAAAATACTTTGTATACCTATGAACAAGTATAATTTCATTGCTAACAGATTTCTACTACATAAAGATTTATAAGATTGCCTAAAGAGAATGCAAGGCATAGATCCTTGTAGAATCAGATGTCTAGCAGCAGGGCCCATTCAGTATTTTATTGAGGGAGTACCCCAAATGCCTGTTTACTCAAGAGTCAGTTAGCATTTGTCTTGAAGAGGAAGGTTGGTTTGCTCAGACCAAAGCTCCTAAGTATGATCACTGAGTGTCATTGATAACATTTGGGCACACTCCACGCTTAGTGTGAGGAGGAACAATATCTTAGAAGAGTCAAGAAGATTGCAAGGGAGAGAATCTTGGGCTAAAAGTAAGTGAGGACTGTGTTGTCTAGTTTTATGTCATCCTGATACATATAGCTAGAATTATAGAAGAGAGAGCCTCAATGGAGAAAATGCCTCCATAAGATCTAGCTATAGGCAAGCTTGTAGAGCATTTTCTTAGTGACTTCCAGGGAAGGGTCCAGCCCATGGGTCGTCCTGGGTTCTATATGAAAGCAGGCTAAGCTAGACCCGAGGAGCCAGTCTGTTGTCAGCAGCCCTCCATAGCCTCTGCATCAGCTCCTGCCTCTAGGTTCCTGGCATGTTGGCATTCCTGCACTGACTTCCTTTAGTGATGGACTGTTACCTGGGAGTGTAAGTGAATTAAATGCTTTCTCCCCCAAGTTGCATTTGGTTATGGCGCTGCATCATAGCCATAGAACAGCAATTAAGACGTTTACAAAGGCAAAACAGACTGTTTTTCTGCATTTTGAAATTTTCTTTTTCCTTGGAAGAGAAGCCAATATGGTACGGTCTGTGGGGAAAAATGATTTTATATAAAATATTGAGCTTGGGACTAGAAGAGATTGTCTACCACACCTCAAACAAGCTAAGATAAAAATCCAAGTGGATTCTTGAAACAAAATTTTGATTCTTGAAGTGAGACACTTGACACATGAACTAGGTGTTTCCATAGATATGACAAACTGTGAAAAAGAACCACCTATTTAAAAAAGGTATTTACTTGAACATCACTACCACCTGCTACACACACACACACACACACACACACACACACACACACACACACACACACACACACCTCTGAAAAGGATAAGTTTTTAGCTCTCATGAACTTAATGGATGCAATTCAGT